AGCTCATGAATGTCTGGTTTGGCACTCCGTTGGAAAGAGAATACACTTCAAATTCTCTTTCTTTATACTAAAAGCTGTGGGTTCCTATCTTCCTTGACTGTGATCTTTCGGGACTTCTATGTTGCTTTACAACAATAAAAATTATCAGCCAGTGTGAACATTTCTCAAGTGCAGGGACAGAAACGTCACAGGAGCTTTGATTGAAAATACAAAGAAAAGGGTTATGGAAATAGACATGGAAGCCTGACAAACACGGAATGTGTTGCAAGTTTCCTTCAACAGTCTGCGTAATTGAGGCACACAGAGATATAAATTAAAAGAAAAGCTGTAAGCAGTTCAAGCCATTTCCAAAAAATTACACTTGAGAAGAGAGAGAGAAAGAAATGTTGCTTTCATTTACAAGTGCTCAGGCGGCACCCTGCACTATGACAATGCAGTGTTGATAAACGTATAGATAGAAAGAACTTGCTTTTGGCCCCCAGCAGATCTTTTCTGGCCTTGAGGTATTTTATTCAGCCGTGGGTTTCCCCATTGATGTTTCCTCATATTCTCCTCATTCCGTGGGTTTCCTCCTATTCCTCCTCCTCTGTAGTTAGTTAAGCTTCACTCTGAAAGCTGTTGTATTAGAACTGCAACATTCTGGCACTGTATGTGCTAGTGTTCTTTGATTGCTTTCAGAGTTTGCTCCTATTTCTTTCTCTCGAGCGTGCACTTTCCCTATAAACCCAAGTATAGCTTTTTATGCAAATGCTTGTTTTGTCAGGCATGAGAGATCACGAGTCTCTTTTGTACTCCTGATGACTAGTAAAGCTCTGTATTTTGGAGAAGATATTTCCAGCAAGTTTGTCAGGAAAATCATTTACAAATTTGGACACCAGTCATAAACTGTTTGAATGGCTGTCCCAGAACAAAGGCGATGCCTTTAATACTGCAGCCTTTGATCTCTTATGCATAATAATTATCAGTTTGGGCTTTCATTTTGCTATTCCTTTTGTTCCACTGTTGGATGTATTCCCTTTTTTTCATTGTAATTCTTTTTCCTGCTATTTCATATTAATTTTTAGAAATCATTTTTATGTGACTAACTTAAGCATTGCATTATCATCATGCTAACTAACTTGTGCTGTTACATTATGTCTCAATATGATGTTATAAAATCACCAGCAGCAAGCTCCTTCCATTACATCATTCTTTTCTAGTTAGGCGCAATAAATTTTTATACTGCTTTTGAAGGTACAATCTTTTCTACCAAAAAAATGTTATTTCACATTTGCTTTCTTTCCATTTAGAGGTAGACTACTTGAATAGCGGGAATCCTGTTGAAGAGTAATATACAAAGAGTGACCACATTCTTTCCATAAACCTTCCTCCCTAGAAAAGAATGAAAACAAACCAGAACCAAATAGCTTTCTTATGATTAGCCAGTTTCTTACTCCTGAAAATATTTATGCTACAGATCCGTATTTAGTTATCTCCGGGTATTTCCCTTATGTGGAAGAATTGCTCTGGGTAGAAAGTTTTATACTGTATTATCCACAGTATTTATCATATCTGGACAGGCTGCTTTTACCCATAGCAGTGAAATATGAACTTTCACAAAGGTGACAGGTTGCCTAAAGATGGGAGAGTGCAGAGAAAGGGTAAAGCCTTCAGAGCAACCTTGCACCAAGCAGAGAAGATCTTACTGATGAGGAATACAGGAGTTCATTCCTATGAAGAGACAGTTACTTGAAGCCGGTGACCAGAGATTTTAGTCCAGAAGGGCACTTCAGTCCCTGCCCCTGCAAGCTCACTGAAGCAAGAGTAAGAAGGAAAGCAGCTAGAAATATTACTTTTTTCTTTCTCAACACAAGAGGGCCTGGCCTTCCTAATTTTCACCATCTGCAGTTCAAGGAAGGCTCTTAGGAGAGAGGATGAAGAGATACAAGATGCCAAGTGGGTGGCAGGAAAATAAAGAACAGAGAAGCACCCAGTGGTTCCTGTTTGCCATTAAAGAAAGGCACAAATTTGAGTGGAATCACCTCTGTTCTTATTTCAATCTTATTTCAGAATAAGCTTCTGTTGTTGTCATACCCTTACTCAGAGCCCTGGCCCTATGCAGTGCCTTGCAGTTGCATGCAGCTACTGACACATTCCAGACAAAGCTCCAAAGACTCACCTGAAGCCATGTTGTCCTCGAAAAATGAGGAATGTGGATGAAACTCAAGAGATCTAGCAGTGAGTGTTAATGCACAGGCAGGTCAAAATGAGTCTTTTGTTTTTGTGTTGCAGTTGAACTCCCTTGGAGGAGAGTAATCTTGAACAACATTTTGTAATTGTTTCATGTCTAGCTGCAAACCTGTCACCTACCATGTTCACAGCTCACTGACCTCATTAAATGCATTCCAAAATTGATTTTCCCCACAATTTCTGTGCTAGGTGTTTCTTTAGTCCAGTAGATATCATTTTACAACAGATCAATTCCACCCTGCTGCATAGGGTGGAATAACCAGAAAATAGAAAGCTCCTTTTCCATCAGTATAAGCAATTTGGTCATTTATGTTGGGCTTTTCACCTTAGTGTGCTGATACAACTTTAATAGCTGAGGTAGTATTTCTTCAACATAATAATTAAGGTAGTTTTAGTTTCTACCTTTTTCTGCATTTCAGTCTTCTGTTGCCTCTTTGAGTGGCATTCCTCCTGTCAACAGGCAAACTCCTCTCTTTCTCTCTCTCTTGCTGTGAATTCTACATACGTTTGAGTCTCCTTTTGTAATCTGCTCTCAAAGGCTCTGCATTGAAGGGAAAAGGTAGTATGGCTTGGAAATCTTTTTAGTTCAGTAAATTTAGCTTTACGGCTCAGAAACTTTCTTAATAAGAGTCTCACTAAAATGCAGGTGAACATGTTTGAAGGCACACTAACTGTTCTAGTTGTATCCCTGTGTTATGCTCTGCCATAAATTTCAAGGACGACTTTTCAGCTACGGTAACTTGAAAGAGCTCTCGTGAATCTAATGTGCCTGTTTTCTGTCTTTCAAGACATGATCTAAGAAGCAAACAGAAAACCAAAATGTATCCTGTCCTTTTTATATCTTTTGTATTTATCTTCTTACAGCTTCACTTTATGTTTTCTACATGCTTATTTTCTTGATTTCAGGTTCTAAGTTTTCCCGTATAATTAACAAATGCCACTTTTAATGAATTAATTTCAAAAAGTAACAGTCGACTTCCTCAGTTACTTGGTAATTGTGATATCCAAACTTGAATTTGGAGATAATGTCTATGCCTATGCCTGCGTATGTTACATATCATACTTCTGAGGCAATTGGTGCTCCCTTTCTGATTAACAGAGAATGTGAATAAGGTATAACCAAAACACCTACAATCCTTTATACCTCAGCAGTTTTCCCATGAGTGGGACTATCACAATAGTTGTTTTCCTACTCCTTTAGTTTTCCATAAAAAGGGTAGTTACTAACTGTGTGTGCCTGAGAAAATTCAGAAATGAACAATAATGTGAACAAGACATTACTTTTCCCTTCACAAACCTTACCTCATGCAGCCAGCTGAGAACACTAAGAGTGTGTTGGGTAATTGGCTTTCTTGCATCCCATATTTTTAATTGCCTGAATATACAATCAGCTCAAGGTACATTTCTTGTGCTCTAATGAATTTTAGCATAAAGTTTTATTTCCAGATGGATCAGCACTGGAACAGCTTTTCAGCTGTCTTATAAATATAATTTAAGTTAACACACTGATACCAAAGTTTTGCCACCCAAGAAATTAAACATAGAATTTATTACGTAATTGTTTGGTTATTTTATCTGTGGATTTCAAGGTGGCTTCTGGAAAAAATGCAGCATTCCTTTGTTTCTTTAAATTATGCCACTAGGTTAACATTAGTTCAGGATCCATTATAATTTAGGTAAAGTTTGAGATATGTCATTTCAGGAAAAAGAAAGTTATTTAAACCTCCCATAATTTTTATTTCACTCTTTGGACTTACTTGTGACTTGAAAAACCAAGCAAATGAAGCTCTTCTTTTGCTGACAAAATGTTTTGGAGTGGAGGCATCTGTCTAGTTGCACTGTAGAAGTAAATGCACTCTAGTTGATACAGTATGCATGAACATTTATTTAATGTTGCTGCCAGAATGAATATGCAATGGTTTTGACATACCTCTGCAATCCATATTTATAGATGGTGTAGAAACAAATTAGTATATTGGACATTGTTTGGGTCTGCATTTGCCTCTGACATAGCCATGGCTTTGACTGTTTCATTTAACTTACATGTGCAATTATTGTCTCACTTCTGAAGAGAGATAATAATGGTTTTCTTCAGACAGAAGTTGTGAAGATGAAGGAGATAAAGTCTGTAGAGCATGCAAGTTCCTGAGAATAAAGGATTTCTCTCTCTGAATTATGAAAGATAATGTAGCCATTTGCTATGATACTGCCATGGCTTCTATTCATTTTTTTGATCCCGCTCTGACCTGCCTTGTGAACTTGACACTAAGAGACAAGTGACTTAAACCTCACTATGCTTCAGGGTCACAATAAAGTAGTAGTATTGTATTTACCCACCTCTATCAAATGCGTTTGTACCTGTGTATGCAATGAGCTCTACAATTGCTAATTTGTAGCATCGTATATTTTTGTGATTGAAAACTATTCCATCTTCTCTCTCACCACCCCTGATAACTGCAAGTGGATAACTGTGGTAATCAGAATTGCAGTCTGCACCTTCAAATAGATTTTAATTCTTTTAATGATCTTTAATTTAATTTCAGACAACTTACTTGCATTCCAGCAAAATTCCCAAGTCAGGAGGATCCCTGATAGAGATCTAATTCTCGTCTGTTCCGTATACCTATTCAAGATTTTAGAAGGTCATAGTGGGTTACATTCAAACCACAAGGTCTAATTTTAGTCAGAGGCTGCCTCTGATAACTGTATCATTTTCATGTTGTTATAAATGTCTACTTGTCTGTGATATTGCTGCATGTGCTGTATTTCAGGAAAAGCAGAGATTTCTGACAGATGTCCTACATGAAGTGATGTTGCTGGATGGTTTGGCCAGTTCACATCCAGTATCCCAGGAGGTGCAGCAAGCCACAGACATTGACAGGGTATTTGACTGGATCGCCTATAAAAAGGTGGGACTAATTAAACTCTCTCTATATATAGTTTGTTATGTCAGTAACTATTAGAGGAAAATGTTCCATCTGTAAAACAAATACCATTGTAAAAATACATACACCACAGTAGTTACTGGTTGAGAAACTTTAATTTGGAATATATTACAGTGATTCTAGCCAGTTATGTTCAGCACTTACAATGTTATTGGATGATATAAACAAACTTATGATGCTGTCAGCAAGAGGATTTGATTTTTTTATTATTATTTACTTTGTGTCTGAATTGTATTAGATGCTTTAAAATGTAGTAGAACGTGTTATCTTTGTCCTAGTGAAACTCTCTAGAAAACTTGTCAGGTACTAAAACTAAATATAATATTTTTTCTGTTTTTCCTATATGTGAGATGTTTTTCTGTTCTGCCAGCTAGTGAACTCTCAAGTCATTGCTAACCAATGAAAGGAGGGGAACTGACTTCTATGGGTGATGAAGGAATACGTATTAAATTCAGGCAATTTCAAATTGTATTTCAAAGGTAGGAAACCTTTTGGCCAGCTTTGGAGCTGTTATACTAGCTTCAGTGGAGAAATGAAAGGGCTGCACGCTTGCACCTTCTCAATCATATGACTGGACTTGCTGTTAGCAAGTGACCCGAAAGCTGGTGGTTTCCGTTAGACCTCATGATTATTTTCTGCTACATGGTATGGTATGCAAAATACCTAAATATCATGACTGAGCATGATTGCTGTGTGACACAGCAGCTGCTGCGTGCAGGCTTCTCCTGGGAAGGCTGCGTAGGAGCTCTCTACTGGTGATGCAAAAAAAGTCTTTTGACTATCACCCTGTGTTTGATAATACTTTTCTTCTGCATCATTAGTTGCATAATGTTGGATTGTAACATCGCATCAGCAGTGTAGTTGTGACTTGCCTACTGAGCCTCCAAATATTCTATGTGCAGATGATATTATATGTTTATCCAGTGCTCAGACTGGGCTAAAAAGAGGTGTATCTTCTCTTTCAGTTGCCAGCTATTCCCATTCAGCAACAAATTAAAGTTGTTCCTCTTCTCTGTATGTATATGTAACAGGTATTGGATGTAATATGCGAACATAAAATGCACAGGGCAATATTTTGAAATGCTGGAGTTGCTCAAGAGCCCAAGTAACATTTTCAAAAATCCCTTAGCTGGCTTTGAAAACGTTACTCTTGGTCAATTAAGCTATAATAATGAGCAGCTTTCAGCATACTGAAGTATTCTGATTGTTTAAATGTTTCAATCATATATTTGCTAGTAATGGCTGAAGCTTGGTAGATTCAGAGATTTATCTCAGATCAGTATCTTAACATTTCAAGCTAATTATTTTTTGTAATTAATATAATAATAGTAATATTAACATAATACTTGGCACTTAACTTTTCCTCATACGACCATTTTACAAAAATTAAGTAATTTTCATTTACATTGAAATGACAAATAGGACATTAGGACATATCAATATACTGCTAGCTACTTTATGCAAGCTAATAGGATCACTCTGTTTTCTGTGCAGATTAAAGCACTATCTTAAAGGACAATATTGTATGTGTCTGTTCATTTAGAGGTTCCTTTTTAGTGTACAATTACTATGCCTAGTGGATATGACAGCTTCTCCACTCAGCTTCTGTGGTGGCCTTTCAGCTCTGCCAGAACCCTAAATGACTTTGAGTGTGTTCATATCAGGCCCTGATCCTGTAAAGTTCTAAACCTGGTTACTAGATATCTCAAACTACTTAGAGGAATGATGATGGATGAATTTGCTTACACACTTTCTTAGGTGAGAAGGTTAAAAGACGCAGTCCTCCTCCCATGAAGTCTCTCTTTTGCTATCTGGTGGTCTTTCTCTCTGCTTTTCTATCCATCCATCCCTTTATTTCAGCTACAAACAATATCTAATATAGTAGGAAGAAACTTCCCCCACTGACTTCATAGCTGCTCTTTTCACAGTTTCTATACCTTCCTCTAAGCACCTGACATCATTGTTTCCTTCTGAGGATAAATTGATAGAGTAGCTTTAGCATTTTGTAGATCCTGCATTCTTTTATCATTCCTACATAACTTTATATGCATGTATGCATAGCTTGCACATCAGATAAACTAGCTTGTCGATGAAACAAACTCATTTATTTGATAAAACCTTTGGCAATGCTTCTCACTCTCAGGTGTCCGCCTATACAAATACCATGATGAATCATACGTCAAAAGAATCCAGATTGTAAAATTGTTCCAAAGGCACTGTCTTTCTCATCACTGATACTGCTGTTCATCTTTCTTTGTTTGTGTGTGTGTTTCGTAGGTAAAGCTTTTACCTGGTGAGGGATGTACTCAAATATATTCAGGTGCCTCATGATCGTTGTTGCAAATTGAGCCATTGCTGGACTTTCTGGAGTGGCGCTTTGGTTGTTTGCTATTTTGTTCTTTAAGTGATGACAAATCTCAAGTTCTTGAGAAATTTTTCTATTGACTGTAGTAAACTTTGGATCAGGTCCATCAGCGAGGACTTTTCTACTATCTTAAAATGTTTATTTTTAGTAGGTCTACCCTTACATGCAGTCTCTTTCACCTATATTTTGATATGATTTTTTTTTTGCATTCCCTTTATTTTAAAAAGTTTTCATCTTTTGCTCCCAGGGGTCCTGATTTCTCCATATGATCTCTTTTCTCTCTCTATGATTTTCTGTGTGAAATAGAAATGATGAAACTTTCTCCCATCTGATTTTTCTTTAGTAAAATTACAGTCATAGAATGTCATTGTCATTGTCTTTCATCAATATGGGATAAGTCAATTAGGCACCATTAAAATGTCCATCTCTGGCAGACACTCTACCAGCTGTCATTTTAAAGATTTGCCTTTTCCCCTTTCTCTTTCTATACACCTTGGAGATGGTAATTGAAACTGTTATTTAAATGCCTTGGCACTGAATATATTTTTCATTTCTACTTGTTTGTCCTCAGTGATTGCACGTGTTAAGAAGTCTGGTGCCACAGAGTCCTGAAGAATTGTATTCACTTAATCCCACAAACAGAGTGAAAGAGATATTGCAGCCCTTCAGAATACAGTGTTTCCATTTGAACTGTTGATAGTAATGTTTAGCTTTTTTAAAAGCATCATACTAATCATTCCTAAGATAGGAGCATGTCATCCTCCACTAGGGCCACAAATATGCAGAGAAAAACACAGAGTCGTGATAGTTCATTAATTAACAGTATTGACAGAAGATTCCAAACTCTCAAGTTACATGAGAGAGTGAGTATGTCTTTATAGTGCGGCTGAAAGTAAGATAGTGTTCTCCCACAATGATGGGAAAAATAGTTATATGCCAAGTGCAGCAGGAAATATAGCCTATTGAACACAAGAGTGGATCTGAGAATTGTTAAAACAAAGCGAAAAGCGTGACAGCGTTTCCACACCAGAAATAACTGGCAGCAGGCATCATAGCCCTGGAGAGCTGCATCAACAGAGGAGGAAAGCGTGCAGCAAGAATAACATGAGAAGCAACAACCAGCAAGGAGCAACCAGCTGTAATGAAATGGTGAAACAAGACAGCTGCATCACAAAGGGAGCAGCCAGACCCAAGCAGCGTGAGATAGATATGTCCCAGATGGACCTAAAGAAGTCACAGCCCTAGATTAGCAGTTTCAGCCAGATGAGAGACAGGATGACAGGGCAGCAAGGACTGTGTAGAGAGCCAGATAATATCTGAAGTAGTTCCCATCAGCCTCATGAATGTGAGGTTCTCTGACGTTACCAGCTGAAGATTCTGGCAGCAATCAGAGCAGGCAAGAGCAAGAGGATGGAGTGCAACTATAAAAGAACCCCCAATAGAAGAAGCCTGGGCAAGTGACAAAGAATGATCCAAACAAGGAGGAGGATGGCTGGAATAGGGAAGAATATTCCTTTTTTTTTTCTTCCTTGTAAGCTCAAATGATCTCAAGAGTGAAATCAGTCACTGGCCTAGGCTTTGCAGCACAAATAATTTATTTCCTAAGCCTTTGTATGTATAGTTTCCTTTTCCTTTTTAACTCGGTGCCATTTATTTAAAAGTGCTTTTCCCCCTTTCTGCGTCAAAGTGACGGAAGGAAGATATATTCCTAAACAGTAAAAAAGGGTCACTGTCCTCCCTGTCTCCCCTCAAAGGCAATGGTCCGTGTTAGGAACTCAGTAGTAGCAGTAGTAGTGTAGTCAGTAGAAAGGCTCTCTGAAAACTTTGTGCTTTTTACTTCTGCTCCCCAGGCACTGCAAAGCATGTTGGCACTGGGATAACAAAACAGAACAAAATATCAATTCTGCCCAATAAAATCATGATTAATATTGGAGTGAAATCCACTCAGTTCATGAGTGCAATGTAATTGTGACTTTGTCTAATAAAATGGATGTGATATGCATCTATGAAATACAGAAAAGTGAGAGCATCTCATTAATAGTAAAAGAAATGCAAATACATAGTAAAATTTAGTAAAGTAGATTTTATTTTTAATTTCTCACATAAGATGACAACCAGCTATTTTACAAGTCCTATGATGCAATCCAGGTGGCCTTGCAATCCATTCTCTTAACTTAATATAAAGGGAGAGCATTTTGTTCTTCCTGACTGATTTAGTTGTGACGTCATCTGTGAATGTCATTAAATTCTTTGTGTGCCTTTATATGATGGTGGTATTTGTTCCATGACTAGCTAGCACAGCAGCTCAGTGCCTAGATTAGAGAAAATGATTTCAAAAACCATTTGTTCATAATGCATTCTAACAGAGGAAGTATCTTGAAATGAAAATAATTTCATTCTGTTTTGATAAAAATACTGTAGGTCTTTACCATGTCAAATATGAAAGCCACCTGATCTCAGAGACAGTGAAACCTTTAAGTTCAAGTTCAGAGCCATCCCAGGAGTGCCTGACTTTGAGTATGCAGATTATTCTATTCCAGCTGGTGGTGTGCCAGTGCTTAAGATTAGACAGATACTTTAAAATATTAAAAGTGCCTCT